GTCGCGGCACCGATCCCCACCCGGAGGGAGTACGCTGGGAACGCTGACTTAGCCTGTCGCGGTGGGCGTGGGGATGGTTCTGGCGATGACGGCCAAGAGGCCGAGCTAAGCGCAGAGCGGCCTCAAGCCCCCGAGCCCCGATCGAGGGCGCGCGACGCGCGGACCCGCAGCAGGTGAGCTCCGAGGGAGCCCCGGGCCCATCCCGGGGTTCATCCTGGCCGGTTTCCCGCCCCCAGGCCGATTCCTGGCGACCCCAGCGTCCGAAACGGGAGGGGGGGAAAAAAAAAAAAAAAAAAGATGACCATGACCAGGACTAAACGCGGAAGCGTGGGTGCCGACTTGGCCATCGACCATCTTGGTCATCGCCTATTCGCGGATCGCCCTCGCGACTCGGCGACGACTGGCACGGACCATGGCCAGGGTCGGCATCGACAAGATCCCGCGACGTCATGGCCATGGCCATCGTGCTCCTTCCCTCGAGAATCGAGTCTCAAGGAGGAGGAGGAGGAGGAGGAGGAGGAGCAGGAGGAGCAGGAGGAGCAGGAGGAGCAGGAGGAGCAGGAGGAGCAGGAGGAGGGGGCAGGAGGAGCAGGAGGAGGAGGAAGGGATCAAGTCGCGCGCAGCCACTGCCCGCGCCGCCTCCCTCCTTACCCGCCCTTCCACTCTTCCACCCCGCACCCTCCTCCCCCCCCTCCGCCGATCGCCCCGCGCCCCTGCCTCGGCGGCCGCGTCTGCCGGCGACAGGCGCCACCCAGGACTTCGAGCACAACTTCGAGATGGAGACCGACGTGGACCCTGCCGCCGAGGAGACGGGGGTGGACGCCGGCGCAGGCCCTGGCGCTTTGCCGGCAGCGATGCAGGTCGACGCGAACCCTGGCGCTGCGCCGGCGGCGGTTGCAGGACGCCGGAGGCAGCGCCCGCCAAATGACGACGACGGAGCCTCAGCGGGAGGTGGGGCGTGGGTGATCTCCGCCCCCTCCTCGCGCACGCTTGCGATGTGCGCGAGCTGCCTGGAGGAAATCCCGGCCAGGGCACCGCGAGTGCGCCGGGGTGGGCCAGGCGCTCGCGTACACCACATCGGCTGCGCTGCGTCCCGGTGCGGGCCAGTCGAGCAGCTCACTGGATGGAGCCACTTGCGCCCAGAGAAGCAGGCGGAGGCGCAGGCCACTTTCGGAGCTGCCGGCGGCGTTGCCGCAGCTGCTGTTGGGCCCCTGACCAGTGCTGCTCCGGGGGCAGCAGCGGGAAGAGCAGAAAGACCAGGGAGGAGACATGAACCGAGGAGGGAGGAGGAGGTTCAGTACGGGGAGTTGCAGCGCATGGAGTTCTGGGACATGTTGCCCTGGGACCGCTTGCACGACCAAGTGCGGACGGTCCGCGTGGTCCCTGGGGCGGCCCAGTACGCAGTGGCCGACCTGCGCAAGGCCCTGTGCGACGCCATGCTCGCGGCCACCACGGAGCAAGAGCAGGCGCGGCTCCTCAAGGCGATCCTGTTCTCGGACCGCCTGCTCTTCGCCGCGGCACGCCGACGCCGAGGAGGGGCGCGGGGCCAGAGGGGCGAAACCCTGGCCCGGACCCTGGCGAGGCGCATCCGGCTGGCGTGGGAGGGCTCATGGGACATCCTTTGGCAGGAGTCCGAGTTCCCACAGGAAGGCCTCGGAGGAGCGACGCCGTCAGAGGCGCAGCAGCTGGCCCGAGACATCCAGAGTATCGAAGAAGCCCTGGCGGAGGAAGACATCCGGGAGGCCCTCAGAGTCGTGGACGGGCGGACCCAGATGGCTTCGGACAGCAAGGCCCAGAGGTGCCTTCCCAACCTCTTCCCGCGGGCGGCTTCGCAGCCAGAGCTGATGGCTGCAGACCCGGAGGAGGAGGACGTGGACCGCTTCCTGGCGGAGCTCCGGAAGGCCTACACACACGCACCGCGGAACAGAGGGGCGGGGCCAGGCGGCACTAGAAACGAACACTGGACGTGGATGCCCCGCCACGCGGCCGCGTGGGAGAGCTTCGAACGCGTTGTCCTGCGGCTGCAGCTCGGCCGGGTCCCTGGAGAGGTGCACGGGCCCTGGCTGTCAGCACGGATCCTTGCGGGGGACCAGGAGGGGCAGAACAAGGTGCGCCCCCTCGCGCTGGGAAACGTCCACAGGCGTGCCGCTTCGAAAGCCGTCAGCCGGGTGTTCACTGGCAGGGTGGCGGCGGCGCTGGGGCAGACCGAATACTCAGTGGGGAGCGCCCGGGGTGCGGAACGCATGCACAAGGCGGCCTTGCTCGACCTCGACAGCCGGCCGCGCTGCTGCAAACTCAGCCTGGACGTAAGCAACGCTCACAACGAGTTCGACCGGGCAGCCGCGGCGACAGCTGTGTCGACCATGGTTCCGGACCTGCTGCCTTGGGCTCGTTTGGGCCTGAGCACTGCTACCACGCACGTGCACGTGGCGCGCGACGGCACGCAGACCCCCCTCCCGAAGGAGCGCGGCGGGGACCAGGGAGACGCTCTCACCAACCAGGTGTTCCCTCTGAGCTACCTTGGGGTGGCCGGCGCCGTGGAGCAGGCAGCAGCCGCAGCGACAGAGCCGGCGCGGTGCTACTGCTACCAGGATGACCTGGACGTCATCTGTGACCCGCGCAGAGCTGAGGCCGCCGAGGGAGCCTTCGCCCGCGCCTGCGCCGCGGCCGGCCTCCGCGGCAACCCGGACAAGACGAAGCTGAGCCCGGGCCGGGAGGTCGACGTGGCGGCGCTCCCTGGGCAGCGCGAGCTGGAGCCTCGGGCCTTAGTGCTCCGCCACGGCGCACTGCCGCCCGTCCCAGCGGCCCCCGCCGCTGCGCCGGCCGCGGGGAGCCTCCTCGCCGCGGGCAGCCCCGAGGTGGCTGCGCTGCAGACGGCCGGCGGGCGGCTTTACCAGAGACTCCGCGCTCTCCGCGCGGCGGGCCTCGACAAGCACGTGGCGGTGACCCTCCTGCGCACCAGGACGGGCTCTGACTACACTTTCCTGGCGCGCACCTGCGGACTCCCGAGCGAGGAAGCGCGGGCTCTGGACCGGGCGCTGGCCGCAGAGTACGAGCACGCCCTGGGCGAGGCGCTGGGCGACACCGCTTGCCGGAAACTCTTCCTCGCTGGCGCGGCCGGGGGCGAAGGGCTGCAGAGCGCGGAGCTCACGGCCCCCGCGGCGCACGCCGCCTCTTGGCACCTCTGCTTGCCGCACTGCCTGCGGCGGCTGGGCCTGGAGAGCGCCAGCGCCTTGACCGCGGTGAGCCCCTGGGCGCGCCGCAGCCTGCCGGCGGCCACAGCGACGCTCCGGGCCGCTCTGGGAGACGACACCGCCCACGTGGGCGACGAGGCACTGGCAGCAACGCAGCACACTCTGGCTACGGCCCCCCTCGCTGCGGCTGCCCGCCTCGCTGCCGACGAAGCGGCCGCGGACCCCCTGGCGGCGGCCGCCCTGCGCTCCGCTGGGGGCCCCGGGGCGGGCGCGCTCCTGAAGGTGCCGACGCTGCCCTGCCACCGACTGACCAACGCGCAGTTCGACATTGCGCTGCGGCACCGGCTGCACCTCGACCTGCCGGGCTGCACAGGCCCCCCGCTGGAGGCGGGCGCAGCGGGGCCGCGACAGCCGAGGCTCTGCCAGCACCGGCACCCGCACGGCGGGATCTGCGGCGAGCCGCTGGACCCCAAGGGGCGGCACGCGCGCGGCTGCGCCGTGGGCGGGTGGCTGGTCCGCCGCCACGACGCTGGCTGCGCGGCTCTCGCGGAGTGGTGCGAGGAGCAGGGGTGCACCGTGCACCGCGAAGTCCTGCTCCCCCACGCTGCGCCCGCGAGCCCCGAGGCGCGGATGGACCTCGTCGTCCACGCCCCGCGCCTTGCTGAGCCGCTCATGGTCGACCTGACCGTGGTGAGCGCGCTCACGCAGGACGCGCTCGGGCTCGGCTCTGCGCGGCGGGACGGCGCGGCGGCGGCGGCTGCGGCGCGGCGCAAGCGGGCCCGCTACCCCGGGGTGGCCGTGGTGCCCTTCGTGGTCGAGGACCACGGCCGCCTGGGCGAGGAGGCGCTGGCCCTGACGCGGCTGCTGGCGCCCGCGCAAGACACGGAGCGCTCGGCGGCCATCCGGCGACTGCACCAGTCGCTCGGGTGCGTCCTCCAGCGCAACGCCGCCGACGCGGTGCTGGCGGCGACGCAAGCGCAGGGCTGGGCCGCCGGCGCCCGGCGCGGGAACCCCGGAGGGGGCTGAGCTGCCTGCTGACGGACCTGCGCTACGGGCGCCCCGCTGCCGCTGGGCAGGCCGCTGACGCCGTGGGCCACGCCCGAGCCGCGCGCGCGCAGGCGCCGAGCTGACGGCGCCGCCCGCCGGGCGTGCGGCGGCGCCGCGCTGGACCGACGGCGGGGCGCGGGCAGGGCGGCGCTGCGGCGGCCGCGCGGAGCTGAGCGCTCGACTGGCAGGGGCGCTGGCGGGCGCGGCGTTGCTGCCGCTGCTGCCCCCGCGGGGGGCGGCGCTGGGGAGACGCGTCGCCGCGGCTGGGGCGGACAGAGCTGGGTGCGCAGCGGCCGCGGGGCCCAAGGCGCCGAACCACCAGGGCCCGACGGCGGCCGGGGGGCGCAGAGCTGCGGACGGCGCCGGGGGCGGGCGACCGGCGCTCGCGCTCGGCCACGCCATGCTGTCCGTCGGCGCCAAGCTCCCGTGTAAGCGAGGTATAGGCCCCGGTCGGCGCACCCCCTCGGCTCTGAGGCTTGCATGCCGCTGAGCGGTGTGCTTGTCCTGGGGTTGGGGGGCTGCGCCGGCTCCCGGCCACAGTGCTTCCGGCGCGCGGCATACCCGCGTCCGCCGGAGGAGAAGGAGGAGGGGCAAGAGGAGGAGGAGGAGGAGGAGGAGGAGGCGGAGGAGGAGGAGGAGGAGGAGAAGAAAGAGCAGGAGGGTGAGAGCTGAAAACGGCGACGAGCCTCCTCGGACCTCGAGCGAGAGAGCGCGGCGCGAGCCCGCCGCAGAGGGAGGCGCCGCGGTGAGCGGGCGCGCGCGGCCGCGCCTGGAGCCAGGCCCTCGCCGAGCAGGCCCTGGTCACTCACCTCCCATGGACGAGGAAATATGTCGAGACCTTTCGAACTGCAACTGTGTAGCTCTCGCCGCCAACGCTCTCGGGCATCCCTCCTCCTCCTCCTCCGCCTTCTCCTCCTCCTCCTCCTCCTCCTCCTCCTCCTCCTCCTCCTCCTCCTCCTCCTCCTCCTCCTGCTCCTCCTCCTCCTCCGATCAGGATGGGGAGGAGCACGAAGGCGAGAAAGGAAATTCCGAAGACGAGGAAGGAGAGAAAGAAGGACGACGAAAACAAGACAACAAAAAAACGACGAGGGCGGGGAGGAAGGCCATGACAGACGAATTGCCCAAGCGGCGCGAAACTGGAAGCCCGAAAAGGTTACTACCGAACGTTCGCAAAATACCTTTTAACAGATGTGACAGTCAAGACGAGCATTGTCTTCATCATTGTTGCCGTCAATATATGGTCGACCATGCACGCATACGTGTGCGCACGTGCATCCAGGAAGTAGGTCAACCATGGCGTATGCCAAAGATGCCTTACTAAACCACCTCCGCTTGTTGCCATGCACATAGCCGCACTCAATGTACAAACCTAGCCGCGCTCCCGCGACATCGCGCATTCGCGGCTGTTTGACGCAACCTGCACTGGCGAGACAGATTTGTTTGTGTGAACAATATGAAACAACGGCCTGAACGCGCACACGAAGTACCCCATAAACTGCTGAAGCGCCCTGAGTTCACAACGTGTACTTGTAAGCTTGCGCGGACAGCCAGACAGAATGGGCAGCAAAGCCCCCATGCCAACATTCAGGCCCTGAGGAAAAGGTATGAATGGGCCAAGGTGAATTTGGAGTTGACCTATCACGGTGGCCTGATTGACCTTCTGGGTGTAAGCGCTGGTTTGGGCCGGACGCCACATGAACAAGAGCCTATCCACAAGCAGCTCTCATCATTGTCGCCCTCTCTCTGTTGCAGGCTTGCGGCATCGGCTTGGGAAATGAAATCGCTCGTGGGCGTCATTTGCTGCACACTGGTCCGGAAGCTCCGCTAAAGCTGAAACTTGCCGGCTCTATGTCTGCATTGCTCGCGAAACCCTGGGCATTCCACTCACACATGTCGAAACGATGGCCAATCCGCCCCGGCTGGCGCCTTGTTTCCGACGTTACATTTCTCGACCAATAGATGCACAAAAGTTTCTAGCCTGCGTTGAATACGCGGCTCGTTCACATGGGAAATGTCCAACATGATGCAGCATGAACGCCCACAACGTCGATCATATCATTATCACGTGTCGTTGATGATTGGCTTGTCGACGGTAACGAACTCTAGCAACAAATATCATGCCAAACCCGAAACTGCTCTTGTAAGTGCCGTCGCTCGGCTTCTTGATCCAAAAGCAATAATAAATCGGCATACGGAAAATGGGAACTGCCGCGGCTGTTGTGATCGCCCGCCGGATCTATCCCAAGCAAACAACCCTTATGCTCTGAGTGCCTGATGTACTTGGACCGCAAATCTGTTGCATGTGCCTCCGTTAGCTTGTCCAGAATTCAAACCAACGCAAGATGCCACCAGCCGTCTGCAGAGCGTAAAAGACCGCTTCGTACCTCTGGTGCACGTGAACTGATGCTCTGAATCCCCATCTTTTTGGGGACCACAGTTTGACATGTGACCGAGAAATTGCTTCATCATGATGTGCGCATCTGCAAAACAAGCCGACAAAGGTGACGCGTCGTCTCAATCTTTTCCTAGCGCAAAGAACCTTTTTCGAGAGGACCTTGTGCATGAAATGTCCCTTCCTGTTGACCGATGACATTGCGGCAGCGCGCGCGCGCGGATGCGTGCGCTCCCTTCTCCAACTACCGAAGCGCGACGCGCGGTCCGAAGTCTGCCTCGCCGACCACCTCCTCTCAGGTGCAAAAGACTTGAGCCAAACGGCCGCAGCAGCAGGCGGATGGGTGATAACACGACGCAGACACGACGCAGACAGGAGTGAACACTATCGACTAAGAGGGTATGAGCACGGCGTCACCCACCAACCCACACAAAAAACACTTGTTGAGCGGAAAACCAGTGGATGAGGCACCCAATGTCCTCGGATCGACAAATGCGGCGGCAGATGTGCATCCTCAGCAAAGCAAAGGATGCGCCAGAAGCCAGCCCTCTGGGACGACTGCACTCAGTCAACGACAACACCACACGCTCCCAGTGCCGAGAGGCCGTCGCCGTGGCCGCCGCCGAACGTCACCGTTGCGTTGTCACGACAGCAACGAAGTCGACGACGACGACGGCGCAAGATCGGTCAGCATCAATCGGAAATTGGAAAGTGGGTCTGACTGCATCGGGTACGGATTCAAAATCGAATCCGATCGGCTGCGCCATGATGCACAACAGCGCCATGCAAGCATCGGGCCGCGTCGGATCGTCCAAGCATCAGAATCGAATCGGATCGTGCCAGGGGAGATCGGCATCGGATCGGCCCGATTGAATCGACAAGGGCCCTCCCGTGTCGCCGTCGCGGCGACGACGTCGACAGCGACGAAGACGACGGCGACAGCGATGAAGACAACGTTGACGGCGGCGGCAGCGGCGGCGGCGGCGGCGGCGATCGGCGACATGCCCCGCCGACCGCGTGGGAGGTTACGTTGCTGCACTGCGCCTGCAACTGGTCCAGGGAGCCCTCGAGCAGGCACCTGCAGGGCGGGCGTCGCATGAGGCATGGGGAGGATGAGGGGAAGGAGGAAGGGGAGGACGAGGAGGAACGAGGAAGGGTAGAAGCGTTTGAGCGTTCTTGGCCCGCTGGGGCCTAAATGAGGAGGAGGATCGAGGAAGGATCCGAGCTGTTGAGCCTTCTTGGCCCTCCGGGGGGCATCTGGAGGCCTTTGGGGGCCTCCAGAAGTCAGGTCGGGCCACGCAAAGTGCGGAAAGGCAGCAGGAGCAGGCAGCGGCCAGGAGAGGGGAGGCCCCGCCCATCATCTCAAACTCGCAGCGGTCGGACTGGCAGCGGCAGCGCTGCGATGCAGGGAGGAGAGGAGAAGGAGGAGGAGGAGGAGGAGCAGGAGCAAGAGCAGGAGGAGGAGGAGGGGAAGGAGGAAGAGGAAGAGGAGGAGGAGGAGGAGGTAACGGGGAGGATACGGAAAAAGACAAGTCAGGAGGGTGAGGAGGTGGAAAGATGACGATGAAGGGGAAGAAGACCAGGAAACAAGAAAGAAGGAGGTTCAGGAATGGGGAGCCGCCCACTCCGCGTCATCTTCTTGTGCGCGTGAGTCTGGGCGGAACATAGTCTGCGTATGAGCGACGCAATATGGATGAATATGAGTATAAGCGGACATCGTATAACTGGGTATGACTATGAGTGAGTCTGGGTGGAAATACGTCTGAGTCTTCGCGAGTCTGGGTATAAGCGACTGGGTACTAGGGAGTCTGAATGCGAGTCTATATGGGCATGAGTGATTCGACTATGGGCGTCTGAGCACGAGTGGGTCTGAGTATGGGTGGGTGTGGGCAAGAATGAGTGCGGGCGCGGCCACGAATGAGCAGCGGGTGTAAGTGCCAGTGGGTCTGCGCACGTGTGGCTGAATTCAAACGAATTTGACTGCGAGATGGTTCGAATGTGAGTGGATGTGCGTATGAGCGACGTGGCCTCTCGGTAGTCCTGGGGCATCCATAGGCCACCTGGATGTCGTGCGATCTCCGAAAGTCTCCTGGGGCAGCCTGGGGCCTCATGAAATCTCGGATCCTCCCCGAGCCTGCTAGGGCTTTCTTCGGCCTCGGGCTTCTTGGGACGCCTGCATTACATGCTCGTTCTGTGGACCTTCCTGGAGCCATTCGCTACACACATGCGTCAAGTCTGCGTCGAACGTCCGTCGACTTGAGTCGAACGTGAGTCGAACTTCAGTCGAGCTGGAGTCGAACTAGAGCCAAACTAGAGTCGAACAGGTCCGTTAAACCTGGAGATTCTTGGGGCCACTCGGACTCCAGACGATGGGTACATCGATGTATACGCGCCTGCGTTCCCTCTTCTCCTCGCAGGCCAAAGCGGATTCGTGCGCACGTATAGCCCATTCTTTTCTGCGGAGGTCGCCGTTGAGACCCCACTGTTGCAAGACGCCGTACACGAAGTCATTTTTCTTTCAGTCTCACTCTTCTGTCTGGTAAGCGTACTTTCGCCAGCCAGTCCGGTGGTCGAGAATCAGATAGTTCTCCCATGTGGAATGGCGTTCCCATCCTTACTGGCGGTTGCTTTGTAGTCGCGCGCCGTCCTCGTCTAGGAACTGGCATGTGCTTCCCAGCGCACTGTTGATTCCTCATGTGACTTGCCACTCACTCTCTGTGTAAGAGTTACAGACTGCATTGACCCAGTGAGCCTGGGCTGGACGTGGCTGCTCGGACTCGGCTGGTTCAGGGGTCGGGTCGTAAAGATGGGAGCAAAACGATGGATATGGAATAATATAAACTCCATTACGCTCTTGTGACCGCTCTGCCTGTACAACTGTCCTGCCGATCGCGTGGCACGACGTGCGCAATCGATCCATTCCTCACAAGGCCGACGGTGCAAAAGAGCCCTGCGAAGCAGCAGACCGCATTCGAGATGGCCGAGCCGTTGGAATTAAAATTCTGATACGAACCATCCGTCAAAACCGTACAAAAGACACGGAACCACACAATCACTGCATTGGCGGTCATTGCGGGGAAGAACAGCACAGCGAAAGGCTGGCTCCGACTGGAAAAGGTTGATTGCTTTGTTGATGCGGTGGTCGATGGCGGCATTCGTGGATCCTGTATCGGAAATACACACGCCCAGCTGCACCGAAGATGACCCCCTGGACGCGACCATCTGGCCATTGCGGGGAGGGTCTCCGAAACCCATCGGTGGGAAGATGGCGTCAACCAGGATGCTCTCTGGGGCATGCGGGTCAGGAATGATGTACTCTACGGACCCCTCTTTCAAGCGCAGGACGTACGCAGACATCCTGGCCATGAGTTCCTGAAACATGATGTCAACATGTTCGGCACTGCCGCTGATGAGGAAAACGTTGTCTGCCCAACACAGGTGATTCCTCGTTTCGTCATGGAGGCGGATGCCCATGCCCCTGGACTTCCACGAGGGTGCCAAATCGACAAATATGCTTTGTGTGACAATATTCCATCTCACTGGTGCTTCTGGAATGCCCTGTGTTTCCCAAGCGTTTTGGGAGATCTACATAGGTATATATATATATATACACATATACATATGTCTTCCAAGATGCCGTCAAACATCACCCGAACTTCTCGGAGCAGTGCAGCGGCGACGCGGGGTGGCATGCGGCAGGCCCGAAGGGCTTTTGAGGCGGTTGACGGGTGCATGAAATCCAATGCCTTGCGCACGTCACCCACAATAAAGTGGGCTGGTAGCGGATCGGGCCACTCGAACGACGTACTAAGCAGAACGCGTAGAGCTTCGGTGATCTGTGCACATGCCATTCCTTGGGTCAATCCAAACATACATATGTTAAAAAAATTACGAGGCCCTTTCCTATCCCAGCACATGTGTAGCATGGAACCCGAATACAACTGTAGAATGATGCTGGTAAAACAAGACCACGAAACTGCTGATCGAAACCGCCCCAGAACACTTGGCCCAGAACAGAACCACCGAGCGACACCACTCCTGAATATGCTGCCCCACTCACCCCGCAAAACGTGCACGAAAGAAGCCCCCATCTTATGGACCACCTTCGCGGGGAGATTCTTCACCACTTCTTCCGTGACTTTATCCATTCCCCGGGTGCTACCAGCTTTCGAGGCGGACAGGCTGGCCAACACATCTGAGATGTTCATCTCCACATCCCTCGAAGAGTACGCTTGCTCCAAGAAGCCAGCGATGCAGTCAACGAAAGCGTCGTCCGACCAGTGCGGGTCCATGTACATGTTCGTGCAGTGCATGAATATGATACCGTACTACATGCTGTGATCGTAAATTTGGGTGCCATCGGGGCACTGCAAAGACATCAAATCAGGCTTCGTCAGTTTCGTCGTAGCCGATAGGGTGGAAGGGCGTAAAATGCTGCGTTTCCATTGCCGTAGGGCTTTCCGTAATGAGTTTGTTGCGGACTTCCTGCTGGCCATCGATCGTGCACGCACGCTCCTCAGCTTCCGACTGTTTCAAAATGGGAGGTTTTGTTTCCCGAATTTGACGGGATCTCGAAGAGGCTGTCGTGAAGGGGAGGCTCAGCGCACTGGAAGCAATCGCCTCGGATGCAGCCCCCATCTCGGCGACCCCATGGAAAGCGTCTTCGACGTGGAGGCGGTATGTCTCTAGATCTGCGTCCTCGACGGTCCGCCCCCGAACTCTGGGCTCCCTGAAGGCATAGCCGATATTGGTAGAGGAGCGAGGGATGACTGCCGTCAGCGGGAAGTGGTCGAAGCGACGGCCAGACGGGGTGGTGAGCTCGGCTGTGGCAGACCACACGGGATACCATTCGGGAGACCATAGGGCAGAGTATACGGAAGGCCAAACAGGAGAACAGACGGGAAATGCAGGAAACCAGAAGGGAGACCAGACGGGAGACATTACGGGAGAACATATCGTGTGGGAGACCATGCGGTAGACCATGCGGGAAATCATGCGGGATACCATGCGCGAGACAGGAAACCACCAGCCACCGATTCCGCATCCAAGGCCTCACACCCAGCCTTAGAAACATGATACAGGACCCTTACAGACAAGCTGTTTTGGAAAATACTACTCGGCGCTGTCATCCATAGATGTGCATGATTGTGCAAACAGGTTTCTAGCAAGCTTCCTTTCTGAGTTTATGAGATGAACGAGCGTGAGTGAAATTGGGTACGGTTGACTTGGTACAACTGGGCCTTAGAGTAAGTGTGCGTATGGGCATGACCGCGTCTCCCCTGGCAGATCCTCCGTGGGATACCCCAGTGCGATGCCTGCTACGACGCGGTGGTCATCGGGCTCCCGGAGGGGAAGCAGGGAAGCCAAAACCAGCGCTTCTCTTGAGATGTCCCCGCCATATGTGCGCGAACGGACCCCTGTCATCCCCTGGCGGCTCCCCCATTGCGGTTTCCGAATGCCCCCATGCCTGCAACGGTACCCTAGAAAGAGGAGCGCGATCCCCCGGAGGCTGCGGCCGCCGCGAGGCTCCTCATCCTCCTCCTCCCTCTCCCGCCTCCCCCTCCTCCTCCCCCTCCTCCTCCTCCTCCTCCTACTCCTCCTCCTCTTCCTCCTCCTCCGCCTCATCCGTACCCTACCCGTTCTCAAATTTCTTTCGATTCTCCCGGGCGCCGAGCGAGTTCCAGCAGGGTGTCGAAGCAGCAGATGACGACGCACCTGGCCAATCCGCAGCCCTGGCCACTTGGCCGCTGGCCCCCCGCCCGCCGCTTCTCCCGACCGACGAGACAGCTAATTGTCCTCCAAGGTGGAGAGCCCACGCCCCATCCAACGTCCTGCGTAAAATGAGCATCTTCAACGAAACAAGACGGATGTCGATCGCCATGCTCGACCTCCGGTGGCCGCTTCTCGGCCCCGTTGCCGTCCAAGCATGACACGGGCGTCGGGTCTCGGCACGCCCTCCTCCACTCCCCAGTCCGTGGCCCTCCCCCCTTGCGGCCTCTCTCTCTATGCGTCCTCTCTATGGGGCAGTGCCGTAGCACCGATCGGCTGGCCTTTACGCCAGGGAGGCGGCCAAAATTGACCAAGTACCCTGCTCCTCCTTACGCACTCTTCCTCCTGATCGTGTTCCTCCTCCTTGTTGTGTCTGCTCCTCCTCCTTTTCCTCCTCCTCCTCTCTCATCCTCCTCCTCCTCCTCCTCCTCCTCCCCCTTCTCC